GAACCATGAGAGACGATGGACTCTGAGAAACAAACTGAGGGTTCTAGAGGGGAGGGGGGTGGGGGGATGGGTTAGCCTGGTGATGGGTATTAAAGGGGGCACGTACCGCATGGAGCACAGGGTGTTATATGCAATGAATCATGGAACACTACATCAAAAACTAATGATGTAATGTATGGTGATTAACATAACATAATAAAAAAAAAAAAGAGGGACCGTGCCAGAGCCCAGGCTCTCTTTCAAGCTGAGACAGGGGTTTGCTGCCCATCCATGGCTGGTCTGACCACTGGTCAGTTAGCCCTGCAGCAGCTGACTGGGGCTGTCCTGTGTCCCGGCTTCCTATGAGAAAGGCAAGCACAGATGAGTGATTCTGGGGCCCAGCGTTCCTCAGAGGCCTCCCCACAGAACTTGGGGTGCCCATTGCTAGAACACACGTAGCTTTCTTGGGGTGCTCCAGTCTCCAGCTGACTGTGGGCACAGGAGGAATCCTGTCTGGGTGCCAAACCCACTTTACCCTACAGAAGCCTGCATGGCCTGGTCTAGCACACCCTCCTTCAATACCCAGGGTGCCCTCCACCCTGGGCACCGTGGCTATGGCACAGACCTTCCTTTCTTGAGCCCACTGGGGACTGGCAGCATTCCTGGGCACTTCCCACAGAGCACTCATTCCTGGAACAGTTAGCAGGAAATCTGCAGAAAACTCTAAGATGAGGAGAAGGCGGTTCCATCATTAATCTGTCTGGGCACTGCTGAGTTAATTGAGGGGAAATTAGTTTCTTTACTGCTGACTTCCCAGGGTCTACAAATAGGCTTAGATCCCCTGTGAGTCTCCAGAAGACCTAGAGGAGTTGCCATCGTTCACAAGCCAATTTGACCAAGGAACGCTTCTAGGAGATCTAGCTCTTGGGAGCAGTTTTTCAGGCTCTGGGAAGCATGTTGAAGGTCGGGCAATCCCAGCCCCTCAAAAAGACAGAGTAGCCCCTTGTCAGCAGGCCTCAGTAGCTGACTGAGCCTCCCTGTGTTTCCAGCCTACCCCTGGGATCGGTCCAGCCTGAAATCCATGCCCCTGGACCTGCGGCAGTTTGAGAAACTGGACACCTATGCCTCACAGGTAAGAGAAGGTGGCTTGGAGTTTCCCGAGTCAGGGTAATGAAGCCTCTCCTCGGGCCCCTCCTGAATGCATCTGCAGTCCCTTGGACAGATGGCCCGGAGGGCCTCTTCCCCTCGTATGGATGGGGGAAAGAAGGCCAAGGCACCAGACTCCTGACCAGGACAGGAGGCCATTCCATCCCCCCAATGCCACCCATGGGGTCCTGATGCGCCCACCCCAGGGTACACACCCTGTAGGTGCCCCATTGGAGGCCCCTCTGACCAGCCCTATCCTGCCCCCCATGCCATTGCCCATTTGGGCATTGCTGCTGCTGAGCCAGGCCACCCCTGGCCCATGAAGGAAGGGAGCAAGAGGCTGAGGGAGGGCCATGGATGCAGCTGGCCAGCACCCACTATGACCGGAACCATGCTCCCCCCTGGAGCACGTGGGCTGCCAAGCTCTCGCCTCTGGGGCTGGCCTCATCTGGGGTGGGGTTGGGGAGAAACAGCTACAGAAGCTGAAGCACTAGAGACACACTGGGGTCCTGGGAGCCAGGCAGGAGCCCTACCACAGTCTGATTGGAAGGGCCAAGGAGCTGGACCCATTGCTGAAGTCGAGCCATCATAGGCTGGTAAGCAGGGAGGTCATCTACAGTCTAAAAAGACCACCGTGCGGTTGGCACATAGTAGGTGCTGAGGAACCTTGTTTGTTGTATCGATGAGTGGGTGGATAGGGGCCTGGATCCAGAGTCAGATTAGAGGCAGGGCCGTCAGTAGTGGGCCGTCCGCTGTCCCGGCAGGAGCAGGCGTGACGTGCATTAAATGGGAACAATGAGAGCAGAGAGGAGTGGAAAGGTCAGCACTGAGCTGGAGGCAGAGGGAGGGCTCCATCCCGGTGTGTGTGAGGGAGGTGGAAGGCAGGAGGCTCACAGGCGGCTGGACTGAGCGACGGAGCGAGGGTGGGACAGCTCCTCGCTGCCAGGAGCAAGTCTCAGGGGATGACGAGTTTGTTTAGGGGCAGTGGGCTCTAGTACCTGTGGAACAGCCACAGGAACTGATCACTGGGCAGCCAGGTCTCCCAGCCCGGAGCCCTATCCAGCCTGAGGAGATGTGGGCAGGAAACACTGATTCAGGAACCATCAGATGTAGCTGAAGCTGAAGCCATAGGGTGGTGTCATCTTGGGGAGGACAGGGCAGGAGGTCCAAATGGGCCCTGAGCCACCTGAGACCAGGGCAAGACAAGGAAGGATCAGTGTTCTCGGAGGTGCAAGGAGAGCTCCCTGAGGTCAAGGATGGCCAATGGCATGCGCCATTCAGTCCAGTCAAGTGAGGTTAGGAGAGACTCATTTCCCCCACTTCTGCACTGAAGTGCTTCCTACAGCCAGAGGGGCAGGTCAAAGGAGGGTCGTCGGAGGCTCGGCCAGACCCCGGCAGGCTGAGGAGCAAAGCAGGGATGAAGGAGGAGGGCGTGGGGAGAAGACCCCACAGGAGCCTGGCAGAGAAGGGGAAGCGAGATGTAGGCAGCCCTAAGAAAGAGATCTGGGGAGGGGATAGGGCAGCCAGGCCTGGAAGGGAGGAGGTGAGGACACAGGTGAGCAGGGGCGCTGGCCTGGGGAAGAGCAAGGCCTGCAAAGACAGGAGGCCCTGGGCCGGAGGCTGACAGAGAGGCTGGCTGCGCAGGAGGGAGGGCTCGCTAAGGGGAAGTCCTGAACTGAGCCATGTTGAGTCTTAGGCCAGGTTGTCTCTGAGAGGGAGGGAAGGGGGGCGGTGTCAGGGTCTGAGGAGGGTGGAGTGTGTGGTAAGGGCCACCAGAAGGGACAGGCCAGGCTTGGAGAGCAGGGCCGGGAGCCCAGCTGAGGCCAGAGACCCAGCCGCAAAGCGGTGGGTGTCCAGAGCCAGCCAGGCCCAGGTAGAGCCGGGAGGTGGGGACCCAAAGGCCCAGAAGCCAGGAGGGTAAGTCAGGAGTCAGCCAGGCTGGAGTGCGGGCCCTGCAATGTGTCAGGCACTGTCCTTGGCTCTGGGAGAGGGGCGAAGGACAAGAACTGTGGAGTTGGAGCTGGACATTGAACAGAAGGAGGCAGACAGCAGCTGGGCGGGTAGGAGGCAGAAGCGGGCTCCAGAGGTCTCCTTGTGGTCAGACAGTGCATCCGGGGGTTCTGATGTGAGTGGTGGAAAGGATCCAGGAGCTCAGGGAGTACCTTAGGGTGGGAGCTGGCCAAGGCATGGGCAACTTCCACAGACTTAAGCACGCAGTTGCCCCAGCTTCTCTAGAAAGATTAAACATGGTCATGGCTGCCTTTTCCTAGAATCCCAACCGTGTTTCCTCCCGACGGCCCCTGCGAGAAAACCTAATTTGTTCTTTTTTTTTTAATTGTGGTAAAATACATATAATATAAAATTTGCCATATTAATCATGTTTAAGTGTACAACTTGGTGGCGTTGAATGCATTCATGATATTGTACAACCAAGTGTATATCCAGGTCCTTCACCCATTTTAAAATTGGGTTGTTTGTCTTTTTGTTGTTGAGTTGTAGGAGTTCTTTACATATTCTGGATATTCATCCCTTATCAGATATGTAATTTGTGAATATTTTCTCCCATTCTGTAAGTTGTCTTTTCACTTTCTTAATAATGTCCTTTGATGCCCAGAAGTTTTTTTATTGTCATGAAGCCTAATTAATCTATTTTTTCTTTTGTACCTCATGCTTTTGGTATCATATCGAAGAATCCATTGCCAAATCCAAGGTCATGATGATTTACTCCTGTGTTTACTTCAAAGAATTTTATCATTTAAGCTCTCTTATTTAAGCCATTGATCCTTTTTGAGTTAATTTTTTAAAAGATTTATTTTTTAAAGGTCTAGATGACTTTTTTTAAATTTTTTTAAAGATTTTATTTATTTATTTGAGAGAGAGAGAATGAGAGATAGAGAGCACGAGAGGGAAGAGGGTCAGAGGGAGATGCAGACTCCCCGCTGAGCAGGGAGCCCGATGCGGGACTCGATCCCGGGACTCCAGGATCATGACCTGAGCCGAAGGCAGTCACTTAACCAACTGAGCCACCCAAGCGCCCTATTTATTTATTTTGAGAGAGAAAGAGAGAGAGAATCTCACGCAGACTCCCTGCCCAGCACAGAGCCCAACACGGGGCTCAATCCCACAACCCTGAGATCATGACCTGAGCCAAAACCAAGAGTCAGATGCTTAACCAGCTGAGCCACCCAGGCGCCCCGAGTTAGTTTTTGTATATGAAGTAGGGATCCAGCTTCATTCTTTTGTATGCAGATATCCAGTTGTCCAGCACCATTTGTTAAAGAGACTATTCTTTCCTCACTGAATAGCCTTGTAATCCTTGTCAGAAAAGTCAGTTAGCCATAGGTGTATAAGTTAATTTCTAGACTCTCAATTCTATTCCACCGGCCTATATGATCCTTATGTCAGTACCACACTATTTTGATTACTATAGTTTTGTAGTTAAGTTTTGAAATCCAGAAATGTGAGTCCTCCAACTTTGTTCTTCTTTTTTCAAAATTGTTTTGGCTATTCTGGGCCCCTTGCAATTTCAAATGAAGTTGAGGATTGGCTTTTCCATTTCTGCAGAAAAGGCTGTTGGAATTTTATAGGGATTGTGTTAAGTCCTTAGATCGCTTTGGGTAGTACTGACCATGAGTAGGGGCTGCTGTAGCCGCCTAGATGCCTACCCACCTGGCTGGCCCCAGAGTCTGCCGAGAAAAGATATGTGGCTCTAGGGCCAGTGACTCAGCTGGTCAGCACTACCTGATATGTCCAGCCCCCCACCAAGGGCTGCACTCAGCCTAGCCCTTGTGCCTCTGGCCCTCTCCTCCTTCTCCTCCTATGCCTAGAGGAAAAGCAGCACCGGCTGCTGGCGGCAGGGCACTGGGCTCCCACTGCCCTCATCCAGGCCCTGACATAGCACACCCCTCCCACTCCCCAGGTGACAGTCAAGAATGGCCTGGACGAGCTGGTGAGTGACCTGCTCCAGGAGGCCCACAGTGACCTGGAGAGGGTCCGCGTGATCTGGATCTGGATCTGCCACCACATAGGTAGGCCCACCTGTGGTGCCACTGGCCCTAGGACTCCCCTGATGCTACTCCCCGCAGGACCCTGTTCCCAGGGGAGACTCTCTGGGATTCACTTGACCACCAGTGTGTATGGAGTGAGACAGACAGTGGAGGAGAAGGGTTCCCAGATGGCTAGGTTGAATAACCAAAGACTAACCAAGGAGGGTAAAACTCACCGTGTACTAACAATCTCCATAAAGGGTCGTTGGGTGGGGGATCCCCTGTGGCCATCTGCCCACAGTCGGTGACCGGAGATTAGGCCCTTTACCCAGCAGCAGCATTCCCTCAGTGCTGGCTTCCTGGTAACCTGCTGCACAGACCTGAGAACCCAGAACAGAAGGTCATCTCCAAGAAGGATGGGGAAGGTTCATAGCTGTTGGAAAGTTATTGCAACACCAGAGGTTTCTTAAAGCACCAGTGCCAGGAAAAGTGGGCTCGCCTCTCCCTCTCCCTGTTCCCACACCCGCGATCTCAGCCCCATCACCAGGCACTCAGAGCAACCTCAAGGGGCCTGGGCCTGTGCACCTGTCCCCAGCTCTGCACGGGACAGCCTTGAAGGTCTGGCCAGGTCAAGCCAAGCCCCATGGGGGTGGCTAGGGGGAGGCTGGATGCTGCCCCTTGCAGTCAATGGAAGAGCCAGGTGGTGGGGTGGACTTCTAGAGCTTTCCCTGTGACCTGACAACCAGCGGGGGCTCTCCTGATCTGCTGCCACTGGGCTTTTCCTTTGTCCTCCCAGAGCAGCAGTGAGGGATGCAGCTTAGAGGAGGAACTCACCTGACACAGGTAGGGTACCTGACCACAGGGCCTGAGAGGCCATTTCCTCCCTCCCCAAAACCAGCAGCTCCATTCAGCCCGGGCCTTAAGGGGGCAGAGTCAGAAACAGAGCATTAGGTAGGACTTCACTCACTGTCCGCCACCCTCACAGGTGCTCCCTTCGTGCCCTCTGTGCCCACAGGGGTTCCTGCCTCAGGGCCTCCCTCCAGGAGGGAGATGAACAGCCTGTTTAGTGGTAGCTCAGGGCGCCCCCTGGGGGTCAGTGTGAGGCCGTGGGGGTGGCCGCAGCAGGGATGGGCAAGCAGCCTCACAGGAACGGCCTGCCGAGCTGTGTGGTGGGGAGGGCAAGGGCAGAGCCCCCACAGCCTGGTGCTGTCTTGGTCCCCTTCCCTTTCAGCCTCTCCTCAGAGGCCTGACGAGCCAGGCAGCCTGCTCTGCCGATGCTTCGCTCTTCCTCTTGCCACCTGCCCAAGGAGGCGACATTTCCCCAAGCTTGCCCTGGCTGGGGGCCCTGGTTCCACCTTCAGCCTGCGGTGGTTTCTCCGGGACTTGAGGGAGGCCAGCCCGAATGGTGCTGAAGGCACAGCGGAGGGCGGGGACGGTGCCGCAGGCCACGGACCCCCTCTGCTCTGCACCAGCCTTGGTTTCCTCCCAGGACTTGTTGGCTCACAGCCTCCTCTGCCCTCTAGAGTACGACATCGAGGCTGCCCAGGAGAAGGACCGCCAGGCCTTCAAGCCCACCGACATCCTGCGGACCCAGAAGACCAACTGTGACGGCTACGCTGGACTCTTTGAGAAAATGTGCAGGTACGAGAAGGGGTCCCATGGAAGGCAGGCAGTCCTGGGCTGACCGCCGTGACCCCTCCCTTCGCCCCTTCCAAAGGCCCGTGCGCCTTCGCCCACATGCCAGGCCTGAAACCGGAGTTTGCAAACTCTGCTCTGGAATCCGAGTGAGTCCTGAAAAGGTCAATTTCTCCCTTTTTAACACCAGCATAATTGACTTTGTACCATCTGCCCGCCTTCGCGATGCATTAACATAATGGCAGATGAATGCGCAGAGATAATTTGGTTATAAAAGGCCCCTTTTCCACCTTCTCTGATCTCTGCACAGCTGAAGGTTAGAAGAATGGCAGGTCTGGGAACAGTACGACAGTGGCTGCTGACGCCAAGGGGACTGTGAAAGCCTGTCCTCGGGGCTGGCGCCGGAGCCCTCTCTTGGGGGAAACAGATGATCTCCTACCCGAAAAGATTTGTCAGTTGGAGACGCTGAATAACTAGGAAGCAGCTTTTCTCTCGGAGACTTTGGGCTCCATTTTCATTGCTCTGGGAATGAGCTCCTGGCCAGGTTGCCCTGGTGGGTGACAGCGGGTAAGGAGACCATTTGTGCGCGGAGGCACCTTTGCTGGTCCTAGGTGACCTCGAGACAGACTCCAGGCTGGGGGAGCCCTGACGGCCCCACAGCTTCCTGTGCCCACTCTCCGAGGGCTGCTGGGTTCCCCGGGAAACAATCAGGCAGCCCGGGAGGCCACTGAAGAGCCTCGTCCCCAGGGAGATGGATAGGCTCTGCCCACCGTCTCTGCAGGCCTCTGGGGGTGGGGCTTCCCAGGCACCCAGGTCAGCCCACCAGGACTCAGGTGGCGATTCATCAAACCAAGTGCAGCAACAGACACTCAGGGGTCTGCAGGTGGGCACCTGTGATATGTCTGGGACGTGTGTACGCGTCGATGTACAGGCAGCCCAAGACGTCCAGCTCCTGCAGACACGCAGCCCATTCCTGGCCTAACCCCCCGTTGTTGGGCCCTCCCATCCCCCAACACCACCGGAAAGCATCGACATGTGCCTGCTCCCAGCCTCCTGCTCGTTCCCTGCTCTTCACGGTACCCCCCTCCACACCCCACCCCTGAGGCCACCCAGGGCAGGTCAGGCTGCAGCGGATGCCAGCCCCTCTGCAGCCTATCCACTCCACCAGAGCGGTGCTTCACTCCCACCCCTCATGTGCCTGCCCCCGCTCCAGGCCCGGGCACCCCAACATGCCTGGGGGCCTCTCCAGGAACCGGGATCCTCACTGGCCCTCTGCCCAGACTTCATAGGTCCTGGGTTCCTGAACAGGACCCACAGGCTCACACGGTCCTGTAACGTCCTCCAAAATCTGACCTCCAGCACCCTTCCAGCCCTGCACCCTGCGGCACTCTCCGCACTTCTGGGTCCTCAAGCTCACTCTGCTCCCCCCTCTCTAATGCTCCTTCCTGCCCCACTCCTGGACCCCCCCTCACCCCACCCCATCCCCTCCCTTGATGTCATCAGCATACCGTATACACAGACTCCTGGCTTGCCTTATGCTTTTATTTAATAACTTTTTCAAATTAAACAAAAAATACTTGTCAATTATAGATGATTTATAAAATGCACAGAAGCAAAAAAGAAGAAAATTAGGTCACTCTGACCACTTAGAGATAACACTGAACATTTGGTCCCATTCCTTCCCCACTTTGTTCTATCACATAGAACACATGTGTTACCTCTGTTACCTGGGCTCATTTTTCTTCCAATGTCTTGTGGGGCTAGTACGTCTTTTATGTGCCTTCAGCCACTCTCTCTCTGTTTCCGCTTCCCCTGTGAACACCCAGCTCAGAATCCTACACACCATCGGCCCACGATGACTGGAAATGACAAGATATTCCTAGCAGATTTGCATGAAATGGGTCTTCCTCTCTTTTTAAATCATGGACTAACAGTCTGTTTTCGGCTCTATTTTTGCCTGGCACCTTTCAGAGCATAATTTTCATCTTAGTTGACCAACTTGATTTTTCAGTCCTAGGATTTCTCAGTCATAGGATATATCCTTCTTTATCCAGTATAAGCCTTCCAAGCATGGTGCGGGAAGGTGCCAGACGGAAAGCCAGAAAGATGTTTGCAGCCCTCAGCTCCCCCGTCCTTAGTTTCCAGTCCTCAACTTACCGTTTGTTAATTGTGTTCTTTTGGAAAGGCACTGAATTTCTCAGAGCCTCAGTTTTCCCATCTGTACATGGGGACCATAGTGCTAGGGTTAAGTGAGAACATGCAGTTTGGAATTTGCTCACCTGACTTTGGGGTTGTTGGGTTGTTTTGTTTTTTTCTTAACCTTGCCTGTCTTTCTTGAGTATGGGAATGCTCTTGCGTAGTGGAATTTTCCTGCAGACACACATAGACTCAGAAAATTGACACGTACCTTGAGTGAACCTGTCGGCTTTTTGGCCTGATCCAGATGCTTAACAATGGCCCTCTTCTGGCCTGCAGCTGCTCATTAAAACACATCCCAACATTCTGCATCATTTAAAGCTAGGTTCTAACCTGGCAGTTAGTGTGTGAAAAACTCTGTACACTGCTCAGATGGTTAACGGTAGCTCACGGTTCCCTGGATCCCTTTAACTTTGGCTTTAAAGATCAGCAAACTCGCCCATGCATCACTTTCCTAATTCCCCTACCTTCCAAATAATTGCCGAAGGTTTGGTAAATTCATTAGCTGAGTCCTTAATAAAAGAAGACATGTAATCCACACTTGCTGATTTATCCCGGCTCAGTTGTCAGGGAGGCCTCTTAGCAAGAGCAGTACCCACATGGCCAGCATTAGTTCTGCCCGTCCATTCTGCTTCCTTGCAGTGGCCTCATTAAAGACTGATTGAATAAAGTAATTCGGTGGGGAACTCAGATATTTTTGCAACATCCTTCATTTCCTCATCGTCTTTCCCAAGTAATCGATGTGAGGGTTTTGTTTGTTTGTTTTTGTTTTTTTAGTCCTATTGCTTGTAACTGCTGGTCTGGTTTCTTTCTGACCTCCCATCATCCAACATCAACGTCCCGGCTCTTGCCTCAATTCCTCTCCGCCTTCATGAATTCTGCTTAACCTCCTTGCAGGGGCCAAGCTTCATTTCCCAGATTCCTGCCACCAAGTCAGCCTCCAGTACAACCCCTCCCCCTGTTATCACGACTCTAGCACCAGCAGCTAGCAGAGTTTCCAGAGACTTTGGGGAAAGCCAGGAGCTTAGTATCAGTTTGAGGCTTTGATGCCGAGGAGACTGGTTGTCACCAATCAGATGTCAGCCTGTTCTCCATCCGTCCTCCTGCTGACACAGAGACCAAGAGCAGCATCCAGCTTCTGCTCAGCATGATGTCCCAGATGATCCCAGCACATCAGTGGGCTCCAAAGGCCCCCAAAGGCTGGGGAGCAACCATCTCACCACCCTCCTGGGAGAGGCAGATACCCTGGATTACCTGAAGTTATGCCCAGATCTGACTTTGTCATATAAAATCCCTGAAAGGGATATCTGAATTCCCCCACCCTTGTAGGTACACCAAAGGCTAGTGCTCGCAGAGATGAAGGATGTCACTAGGACAAACCATCCTTTAATTTTGCTGCACCCATACATTTATAAGTTAAAACAAATCTTGGCATACTAAGGGGCTGGTGTCATATGAAGCCTCCTGAACTGTGTGCATCAGGACAAGTGAGTCCTGAGGCTGCTCTGGCCACTGGTTGGCTGTGTGTCCCCAGGCAAGTCAGCCTCGCTCTCTGTTCTGCTGACTCCTCACTTGTCAGAGAGGAGGGCCCTGAGGTCACACCCCAAAAGGCCCGACACAGGGCCTCAGAGTGAGAATAATTACTGCGGTTATAGTTACTGACCTCACCGTTAAGGGTGGTGCAAGAAAAGGGAAAGGGGGCCGTACAGCAGAAATAGAGGCACCATCAGACTTACAAGAAATCAGCTACATAATCTGTGAAACGTATGCCATAGTTATGCTTGTCCTGCTACAGTACAGAAATCACAAAATTGGGGGGCACCAGGGTGGCTCAGTCGGTTGAGTGGCCAACTCTTGGTTTAGGCTCAGGTCATGATCTCAGGGTTGTGAGATCAAGCCCTGCATCAGGCTCCACACTCAGCGAGGAGCCTGCTTGAGATTCTCTCTTCCTCTTTCCCTCTGCCCCTCCCCTACCCCAGCTCGTGTGCTATAAACAAACAAACAAACAAATAAATAAAATCTTTTTAAAAAAATCACAATATTTTCATCAAGGTACAAAAAAAAGATCATGCTTCATTGCATCTCCCATTGGCTACAACCCTCCCTCCTTCTCTTATTTTCCGCGTGGCCCACACACCCTGGAGAGGTGATGAGAGTACACTATGGTCAGATCCTGACGCCTGCAGGGCACATTGCCCACCCCAGACAGTGTGGCCGCCCTGCCGGGGCCTGGCAGTGGTGTGGCTAATGCAGTATTACACGGTTCCCACGGCAGGACCCGGACCCTGTCTGTATACAGTAATAGTCACAGACTGGATCCACCTCCTCCTCAATTGATACCACTGGTGTTGGCAATTTAAAACTATCAAAAGTAAAAACCAAGGGGCGCCTGGGTGGCTCAGTCGGTTAAGCGACTGCCTTCGGCTCAGGTCATGATCCCAGGGTCCTGGGATCGAGTCCCACGTCGGGCTTCCTGCTCAGCGGGGAGTCTGCTTCTCCCTCTGACCCTCTTCCCTCTCATGCTCTCTATCTCTCATTCTCTCTCTCTCAAATAAATAAATAAAATCTTTTTTAAAAAAGTAAAAACCAAGACGTTGCAGCCTGAGGTTATTAGACAGATGTCCTGGGATGATATCTGGGGCTCCAGAATGGCTGATGAGCTCTCCTTAGGAGGTGGAAACATTTCTCATCTTCTGTCCCTTCTTCAGTGCTCTCCTAGATCTTTCCAGCAATTTTCTCTTCCTTTGGGTCCCCTAAAAGGGCTGTGTGCATCACTAGCATTCTAGTAATGGTCTACCTGTCCTGCCCCCTTGAAACAATGAGCACATCTAGGGCAGCCAATGAACTTTCCTTTCAGAATATTTTATTAGGCTGTAGTATTTATTATATGATAGGATAGGATATATGATATTATTCCCTGGTGCCTGGTACAGTGCTTTGCACAAAAGTCAGTGACCTTTTGACAGCATGAAATGGTTGTGGGTCATCCCAACTAGCAACCGGCAGCTAGAATCGCTCGTCCCCCAGTTTTGCATGAGAATTACGGATTATTGACAATAATGCTTTACATCATGACTTCTTTGTCCAGTTCATCTTGCACATTGCTGCCAGGTAATAAAATATCTTCATATCATAGTCAAGCATGGCATAAGCTCCCAGCTAAATTGCTTTTTTTCATCTTTACTCTGCCCCAGGCATTCCCCATGGCCTTCCCAGCTTCCCTCCAGCCTGTCATAGACATCACCCCCCAGAGATCATTTAACGTCAACCTTTCTTTTTGCCCGTGATGGGCCTGGCAAGGTCACCCTGGAAGCGACCACAGAGCTGAGACTGAGCCCAGATCTCCTGACTCGGCCCAGTGACGGCCCATCCAGCCACCCACTTCTGCTTCCTCCCGCCCTTCCCAGGCTTGGGGTCGGGCTCTCACTGCTGCTCCCCCACCTGGTTCTCAAAGCCTACCTCCACTCCACCGCTCGGGGGGAGGGTGCCCCCAGGCCCACCGCCCAGGCACACAGCCGGCCCCACGGCCCACAGCAGTGCCTGCTCCATTTCACTGGGGCACTCGGGGGCCGTGTGGACATGCAATGCTCCCCTTCCTTCCTGGACCACAGCGCGCTGTGAGCGGAGGCCGGGCCTCAGGGGGGAGCGGTGCCCTAGGGGGCAGCATGTCCAGAGGGCCGCAGCTCCCCTCTGTCCGCCCAGCTTACTGCAGGACTCTTCCCAGGACTCCACACCCCTCCACACGCGCCTGGAAATGGGTGAGGCACACAGACCTTTCTGGGCAAGGAAGGAAAATAACTCACCGAAGAATGTAATTTCAAGTAGTATTTATGGCTTTTTTCCAATTCTAAAAGTAACACATAATCATTACTGAAAATTTAGAAGATCTAAAGGAGTTTAAAGAAGAAAATTACAATCACCCATAATCGCATCACTAGGAGACCAGGTGCAGCCGGCCTGTCTCACTCTGCCCTCCTCCTCTGCCTCTCGCCCCGCACAAGCACAGCCCCCACACGCACACACACGCGCGCACGCACACACTCGGGCCTTGTGCTGACAGCAGGGTTCCATAGGCTTCTGTCGGTTCATATTGTGTCGGGAGCATGTCTCACCTCACACTTCTTCTCATTCACTCTGAGTAGGTGGAGCCCCACCTCTCAGGGAAGCCCCCCAGTCGGCGCCTCCATCCCACCCTTCTGGCCTGGCTCTCGCCCCTCCCCCTCTGCTGCCTGTTTCCTCTGAGACTGTAAACACATTCAGTTCCGACCCCCCAGAAGCACCCCTTCACCCCCTCTGCAGCTAATGAGGCAGGGGACCCTCCAGGCACACACGCTGCACTTCTGGGGCTCCTCCTCGGCCTGCTGCCTCCTGTGGCTCCTGCCTCGGGGCGGCCCCTCTGCTCCAGGAGTAGGTTTTGGCCCTTCAGCAGCAGGAAGACCTGACATCAGGATCCGGTCCCTCTTGCTGTCTGGCCCTGTTCCCCAAGTGCTCCTGAAATCCTTCCTGGAGCGCCTCGCTGCTCTGTCCTCGCGGCATGTCTCAGACAGCCTGGGAGGCCTGGCCCCCCTTCTGTGAGGCCTCAGGCGGAAGGGCAGGCCTGCACCCCACGGCGGAGGGAAGCTCAGGCAGATGTGGGAACAAGACACTGTTCGGCAGAAGCGGGGTAGAACGTGGAAACGTGCAGGCTCCCCATTTTGCTTCACTGTTTCTCTCAACAAATGATCAGTAATATTTCATCCAGTATTCTAATGGGTAATTAAACATACTTTTGGGGGGCGCCTGGGTGGCTCAGTTGGTTGAGCCTCTGACTGGATTCCGGCTCAGGTCATGATCTCAGGGTTGTGGGGTTGAGCCCCGCCCAGCGCCGAGCCCCCTTGAGATTCTCGCTCTCCCTCTCCCTCTGCCCCTCCACCCCCACCACCCCCCACCCCTGCTTGCTCACATGCACGTGTTCTCTCATTCTCTCTCTAAAAAAAAAAAAACAAAAAGATTTAGAAACATATGTTTTTATAGGGAAAATGTCCCCCGTTCCTATAATGAACGGGGAGCCGTTTTCCCCCTTACCCGGAGAGGCTCCATGGCCCCCTCGTTGAGAGCACTGGGGTCTGCAGAGCTGGTCCACAGAAGGCCCCCGGCCACCAGAGGTGCCCAGGCCTGGCTAACACCCAGAGCACGGAACTGATTCGTGGGAGGCGAGCGCAGAGTCCGCAGGGCAGCTTGTGGGATACTCAGGGAGCCCCATGGAAGGAGCTGCCACGAACACCCTGGACAGCACAGACTGTGTGTGTATTATACCAAGCTGCCAGAAGTGAAAGGAAAGTGTCTTAAAGAAGGAATACCTTTTTCTAATTCACACCCCCCCCCAGGAAAACTCGCACAGGGCGTCCCCTGGGTCAGAAGAGCATTCCACCCTGGTCCCTGCCATGGCTGAAGAGGAAGGCCAGCTGGTCATGGAAGGACTCTCTGGGCTCTTGCTTTGGCCTTGGGGTTGGTGCCTCAGGGTTTCAGCTACAGCGCCTGCATTGTAGCTTGCCCATGATTTCTGTGGTCCCCACAGGTGACCATCATCCATCCCCCACTGTCCAGGCCACCAAAAGTGGTGCCAGAGTGGTTGTAAGCACTGGGGGAGCATACTCTCTAGAGGGCCGAAGAACTCAGGCTGTTTGGTCAACATTTCCACCCCTCAAAGGACGTCTACAGGGGACGCTGAAACTGTGGCCAGGGCAGTCAGTCAGCACATGACTGGAGAGAGTAGGGCTCAGCTTTCTTCTGTACCCTCACATCCAGCACCCCTCCATGACACCCCACCCGTGTCACCTAGACCCAGTTCCCCAGCCACGTGTTTCGAGCTGCTCTGATTCTTTAAGAACATCATCCTTTCCTGGTTTCCATGTTCTTGGGGAGATCCTTGCCATTGCACCCACTGCTCTCCTGAAGAGCGGCAGGCAGAGCACTCAGGCGGGTTCTGTCTGGGGAAAGATGTTTCAGAGGTGATTTGCTCGGTCTCCATGGAGGAGCAGGTAGTGGTGATTTGCAGCCCCCGCAGGAGCCACCTCTCAGACCCCCTGTCCCGCCCCCAGGATCGCCGGGGTGCAGTGCATGACTGTGCCTGGCTACTCCAAGGGCTTTGGCTACCAGACGGGGCAGAGCTTCTCAGGGGAGTTTGACCACGCCTGGAACGCCGTGTACCTGGAGGGGAGATGGCACCTGGTGGACAGCACCTGGGGCAGTGGCCTGGTGGATTCTACCACCTCCAAATTCACCTTCCTGTAAGTAGAAATCTCAGTGCTGTTGGGTGTCCGGCTGGTGGAAATGGGGGAGGCACGAGGTTGAAGGAAGCAGCAGGTGGAGAGGGCCAGGTGGGAGGGCAGGGAGGGCCAGGGTGGCCTCTCCTCGCTGCGGGCCCCTCCCACCCTCCCTCCAGCTCTGAAATGATTCAGCTCCAAGCCAATGGGAAGGGCCCGGACCTTTGTGTCACCTCACCCTCTGCTGACTAAATCCCTCCCCTGGTTCCCCATCGCTCCCTCCGCCCAAGTGCTGAAAGCCCACCATTTGCCCACAGGCCCTACAAGAGAGGAAGGCAGAGCTGAGAAGCTACTTTAACATCTGTAGATTCCCTTCAGGCCTTTGACCCACTGGCTGTATTACAATGCAGGGATGCCAGAATTCTCTTCCTGGTATCTGCTTCCCCCAGATGCCAGGGCTCATCCCCCACGTCTCTGGGCCAAATGCAGCCACATCACATCTCTGAGGAAGAGGTTATAGTTTGTGGGCAGGGGTACTGTGGGTACAGAGTCACTGTGACCACGGTGGGGCAGGGTGCTGGGGTGCAGGGCGCTGGAGCATGTCTGTCTCCAAGGCTCTGGCCAACTATGGTCTTAACCTAAAGCCATGACATTCACCCTGGATCATAACATCTCTCAGCAACTCAGATCCTTTTTTATCCAGAAAAATGAGAGCATTGTCTGATTTTTGCAGTTTAAATCTCGACAGGCCTGCACACAGGCCAAATACAAGCTAAGAGAGAAGCTTTAGCTCAGATGAGTCTCCCTGTTCCTCTCCTGACCCCCGTCACTAACCGCTAGACAGCTGTGTCTCATTGGCCCCAGGACTGCAGGAGGGCTGCTAACCCAACACTCTCCCTGCCTGCCCTCCCTCCACCCTGCTGGTTGGCACCCGGTCCCTGGGTTATGCCTTTCCCCCCTCAGATCTTTATCGGGCTTTGAGAGTAGGGGGAGCCCAATCCCCACCTGAACACAGCTCCACAGGGACTATGGCCTTCTCTTAAAAGGGGCCGCAGATCCTGCCATGGCCCCTATTTCTGGAAGCAGCCACTGAGAGGCCATCTGCAGTGCCCATGTTAAGACCGGAGGTAATGCCTCTCCCCATTGGGTTGTTGGCAGGACCCTTCCTGTGGAAGCGCTAGACAAAAGAAGGCCCCAAAGGTCCCCCTGTGAGCACATGGCCACTGACCAGCTTCCCCCCCCCCACACCTCTAGCTACAATGAATTCTACTTCCTCACCCATCCTGCCCTGTTCATCGAGGACCATTTCCCAGACAACAAGAACTGGCAACTGCTAAAACCTCCTCAATCCCTGAAGCAGTTTGAGAGCAACATGTATCACAAGAGTGAATTCTACAACAAGGGAATGCTGAGTGCCCACCCAGAGACTTCTGTGATCAAAACAGGTAAGCCCGGAGCAGGTGGCCGGCATCTAGCGGCAGGGACAGAGCAGGTGGCCGGCATCTAGCAGCAGGGACACAGGTGGCCAGCATCTAGTGGCAGGGACAGAGCAGCCTGCTCTGTGCCTCGAGGCCTCTGGGCCCCCAGGGGACTGCCCTGTCAGGGCCCAGCCACGCGGAGCTCTGTGTGTCAGTGGTCTGCGCAGCTAGTGGGAGAGCAGTGTGGGTCTCCCGGGACAGAGGACCGGGGGAGGCTTTACTAGGGAGTGGCTGCTGAGCTGGATCTTAAGAGCTGGAAGAGAACAGGCATCACCAAACACAGGGACTGACCTGCTCTGGAAGGATACAGCAAGCCCTCCAACGCCTGAACTCAAGCACCCCTAGACCAGGGCTGGCTCCAGAGGTGCAGCCTGCCTTCCTCTGTGCCCTTCCCTCACAAGCTTCCCTCCTGGAGGCAAAGTCCAGCCTTTTCCAGCCAACTTTACTGGGAGTAGGAGGGGCAGGACATCTAGCTGAGCTGTCCCCGTGGCTGGCCTTTGTTCCCTACGTCCCCACAGGGGCCACAGGTACCCAGCCGGGTGTGTATGTACACTCTGAGGTTTATGGGGGGGGGGCAGCTGTGTGGGAGAGGGTACAGAACTGTAGTCACGAGCCTCACAGGGCGGACTGCAGAGGACTTTGTCTTATGTCTGTCCAAGGCCCTGGTGCCTGGTCCAGGGCTGGACACATAACCTGGACACACTACAGGGCTCAGCACAGCCTAGTCAGTGCACCTACCCCCCCACCCACACCCACACCCCCACACTTAAGCAAAGGCCTGCCTATTGGCACCATTTCTGCTACCAGGGGACCTGCATACTCCCAGGAGGGAAGGGTCTGAGCTCACACTGGCTGTTAGCACAGAGAGGTCTCTGGGTGGGTCTATAGGGGAGCCCCATCCCACATTGTAGAGAGATAGGGGCACAGGTGTCCCCAAGTTACTGCCAGCTGATTCATCCCTTCCACCTCACACTGTTTTCCTTAACCAGTTTGCTGAGCTCTTAAATCCTTTTTTAAAACTACAAATACCTGGAGGCTCCTGCTGCTAAAATAACAACGTGAGGTTGCTGTCTTTGAGAATGCCTTTCCTGTGCTCGTATCAGATGAGGAGCCTGTTCGGACTGGTGTGGGCCATGGAACCACAGGGAAGAATGGTCCAGGCCACACCAACGTCCAGTGAATGCCATGGAGTAGAACTTGCCTTTGCAAGAGACACAGAAATGTAAATACCGGGTTTCTTGATATACAGGAATCTTGAATTTGATTCCATATTCGTGATGCATATTTCAAGACTATTTCTTTGTTGGAGCTAGTTGTGTTAAGAGTGGGGATGGGAGGAAAGCAGGAGAGGGGAACAGGTGGGTGAAAAGCAGGGAAGGGAGAGGACAGGGGGCTGTGGAGGGTGGGGTACCGCTGATGGGGAAGAGGGGGTTGGAGGGGGAGGGGTGCAGGGGAGGTCACAGGCTGATGGGGAAGAGGGGGTTGGGGGGG